TGTAGAGTTCATGTAACAAATCAGACCTAGTGCCCTGGAGATAGATGATTTGGGTTTGTATCCCTGGATACAACTCTTGGCCTGGTTTTTGGAGATTCAAAAACTACAGTGTTCAGAACTCATTTGCCACTGCCCCCAAATTTTCCATTATCTCTTTCACCCTGATGTTGCTGAAACATGGCCTCTGGACCCCACAGACCAAATTAAGACTTGAGGACAGAGTTTTGGATGAAATAGAAAAGGCAGCTTTATTTCTTTGCCAGGCAAAGGAGGTCACAGTGGGCTAGTGCCTCTAAGACTGTGAGCCTGCTGGGGAGAGAAGATGGGGTTTCATAGTAAAATTCAAGAGTTCAAGGGGTAGAGCTAGTTTCCACAGAGATTGTATACAGGGTAATAAATTGTCACAAAATTGTCCTTATTTTTGCAAATGCAGTGGTTTCCTTCCTTCTGCCAGGGTATGAAGTTCACCTCTGGCTTTGAGACTCTCTTAGTATTCTTGTCCCTAGAACAAAAGATGCATAGGAAGGGGCTATGTGGCAAAGAGCTCTAGAGAAAAGCTGATGCGGTTTAAAGTCAAGCTGATAAATGCTTTTAGCCTTTTAAGCAGACTGGGGCTTGGGATCTCCTGTTGCAGTCCTCAGCCTGCAGCCCAAACAACGGGTACAACAGGATACAAGGAAACCACAAGGGGTCAAAACCACCTGCAGAGATAAGTAGTGGGGGCAAGTTATGAACAAGATGCACAAAACACCCAACTGCTGCTTCTGAGGAGTCAGGCTCCAGAGGAGGACACTGGGGCCAAAAGCAGGACACTAAGCATGATCCCTGCACCCAGCACCATGAGCAGGTTGGGTGGAGCACCCAAGCCTCCCTCCTCTCCAGCCTACCCCTGGTCAGGAAGATCATGAGAAAAACCCTTTAAACCATTGTACAGTTAGGCAGTTACAAACACCACTGTAGATATCAGGTGGTCACCAATGACAATAGGGTCCTGCTCTGTTACACTGAGACCATTCCCATAACTCTAGTATGAAGATAATATTAAGTATCTTACACAAAGTTAGGAGGATCAATGTCATGACTAAATTAAAGTACCAGGATTAAAGAGCTTTCAGTTACTGTCCCCTTACCCTTCAAAAGTAAGAGAAATGTATCACCTATTGATAAATGGGATGGCTTTCCAAGAGAGAAAAGAATGCCAACTCACTTATAATTTGATCATGAGTTCTCTCTTGTGTTAGGGATGGCAAGGGATCTGAGAACGCTGAGATTTGAAAGGGCTTTTTTTTTTTAAGTTGTGTGAGGGAAGAGAAACCATGAATTTCAAACAGATTGTATTACAGACACACAATACTGGAAGGGCCACAGGCATCATTTTCTGGTCCCTGAACTCATCTCATCCCCATAAAAACTCCTAGAGTCTGTGGATCAGCTGCAACCAAACAAGATAGATCTCCACAAATTAATGCAGAAAAAAAGTGCAAGACAAATTCTTGAGTGGAAAAAAAGCAAATTGAAAAACTAATATATATAATATCATATATTCTAAACAGGGCAGGAGAAAGGAAGGAAAAGTCTATTTCTATGTATATGGTACATAGGTAGACCTGTGTCTACCTATTCATTTATGCACCAAATATTTATTGCTGCTATGTATAAGGCATTATTTAAGGTATTGAGGATGTAGTAGTGAACTACAGATGAAGTCTACCAAAGCAAAAAAAAAAAAAAGAAAAGAAAAGAAAAGAAAAGAAACTCCACAAAACTAAACAAATGAACAAAACCAAGTGTGAGTATGTCTTCGGACTAGTAAGGAAAGACATTATTAATAGGGACTGTTGCAGTAGAGAAATTCTCAAAACCTGAGCCAGGAACATCAAAAGACTGTGGGTTAGGTGGCTGTGGAAAGAGGAGGGAGTTTGCTAACAAAGCTGCTGGGAGGCTTCTTGAAAGTTAACAAACAACAGACATCAAATATTGTAATGACAGGAAACTAAAGTGGGCAGTGTTCATTTGTGTTTAGGCACCTGAGGTGAGAACCTGGACTGGAGATGGAGTAAATGAACTATAGCCGAGAAAGTCACAGACTTTCAGGCCTGGCTGTCCTAGTGAAGAAGCCTAAAATACTACAGGGTACAAGTGTCATTAGCCTCGTAAATCCCTCCTTGGGGCCTCTCTTCTTAGGAGGATTTCTGAGCTGTCCAACAGAGACCCTTAGGACTTGCAGGACCACAGACAGCCCCGATTCTGTCCCACTCTGCCCCAGGTGGGCAGTCAGGAGCTCAGCAAGCAGATGGGGCTGCTGACTGCCTAGACAGAATGATAGCAGAGTGGGAAGGAGCAGACTGAGACTAGGAAAGGTCTCAGCATGGACCCAGGAGACCATAGGGTGTTCAGGGATTGGAGAGCAAGACTAGGGAGCTGTGACTGGGAAAATGTCCACCACAGGACATGGGAAGGGACAAGAGTCTCATCAGAGAAAGTCCCTTTCTCCCCAGAATCTACAAGTGCAGAGGGAACCAGCCACAGCTGCGAACCAATGAGGTCACTTGTAAACACAAAGGTCACCTGGAACCTCCTAGATTCTAGGTCTTCAGTCCCCAGATTTAAATGAGCCCAATGTAAGTTGATTTACAATTTGTGTTGGTTTTTTGTATTCAGGAATATTATATATATATAATATATAATATATATATATAAAATATTCAGGTATATATATAATATTATATATGATGTATATATAATATATATGATATATATAATATTCAGGTGTGTATATATAATATTATGTATAATGTATACATTATATATATAATATATATAATATTCAGGTATGTATATAATATTACATATATATAACATGTATAATAGGTATATAATATTCAGGTATATATACTATTATATATTATATATAATATATTATATATATAATATTCATGTGTGTGTGTGTGTGTATATATATATATATGTATATATATATATATACACCAAAAAGTAACACAATATTGTGAATCAACTTACATTGGGCTCATTTAAATTCATATATATATATATATTATATAATATATATATACTATATATATACCTGAATATATTTTTCTTTTTCATATTGTCTTCGATTATGGTTTGTTAAGGATATTGAGTATAGTTCCCTGTGCTATACAGTAGGGCTTAAGTATTGATCCTGTCTTAATCACTGGTGTATCAGAGGAGTTTTGGTGCCCAGGTGTTTTTGATAAAAAAAACACTTTCTAGTTTCTTCTTAATATTTTCTCAAGGCTATTTAATTAGAAAAACCAGCAGAACCAGCATGAATAAGCAAAGGAAACAGAGCAGAGTTAAAGCCAAGGGAACAAATCTAATGTGGCGTAAGATATGTTTTTCCCTATTACAGTATCAGCAGTAGCACTACAGGTTACTTCACATCATCTATCCATTTTACACATGTTTAATCTTGTGTTAAATTTTTGATTTAGCATTTACAACTTATACTAATTAGTTTTTTCTTCATTCATAATTACTTAATTTATCTTATAGCTACTTTATTCATTTTTTAATACCTTGTTATTGATGTCTTAGTATTTGTCTTTATTATAAAATTTTATGAATTTCTTCAGCTTGGATTATGTTTTACTTTCTTCTGTCACTTGATATCATGTATTTTTTTCTATTGCATTTATTAAACTCATGTTATTGCATTGTGGTACCCATTTTTATTTGTTTTAACATATTTCCTATCATTCTGAATACATATGTCAAATTATTACAAATAAATTATTATAGGTATTGTGACAAAGGCCCTGTGCACTTATAAGCAGAAGAGGCCTGACCTGTACCTGTTGTTTAAATATATATTTTACAGTGGATATTTATTTGTATCTGTTCATTTCAAATTTGTGAACAACAACAACAAAAAAAGTACCTGCTTCTGTTAGTTTAAAAGTACCTTGACGGTGTTGTGTGGGTATAATTTGTTTTTTAGTGTGACAAGTAGGAACTGTTTGAAAATAAAGAAGTAGTGTTTATAATGATATAGCCAAATAAAGTACCAATCTGGATGTTAGTAAGAATAAATGACACATGCAGTTTAAAATCAATTTAGAGTGTGCTTGAATGTAAGAGAAGGATACCATGCTACAGTTATTAGTATTGTGCACTTACCAAGCCTCGCCTGGAATTATTTACTCTGGCAATGTTCAACTGTGTGCTTTCCCCACCCACACAATGACGGCTGCAGTTTAGGCTCTCTGGTCTTATCTATCTTCCCCAGTTGTGCTAGGGATTTTAATTGCCTCTACTCAACAGGGGAACTGTTAATCGTTTTTAACTTGTCTAATTATGGCATTGACCACTATAAATTGTCACGTTAGACACCTCTAAAAATTAAGACCCAGTCAGAGCCTAGACTGAAGCAAACAGATACTCACTATGCTGATCAAGGACGCGATCTTTTCATTTATAAAAGACTTACCCCTACAATTTCTGGAGCATATGATGTGGACATTTCTAGAGGAAAAGGTGATGCTACTTTTACAAGAGAATTTAACAGTTCAAAATACCATGTTAAATGAATACATGAGATGGATTTGTCTGTATGCAGTGAAAACTACTCTGACCTTTCTAATCCGGAAAATGGCTGCTGTTATCAAAAACTTGTTTATGGGAAACATTCTACAAAACATCCCATATTTCTTTAAGAAGGAGCGTCGTGAAGCAACATGTGTATATACAGTTTAAAAGAAATTATAAAGGCATATGGAAATTATGTCCAATCGTTGAATTATCCGTGCCTTCCTCGTTGAATCTCAAAGGAAAAGATCAAATACGTTACCAACACAAGCAGAATATAGGCATGATTGGAACAATTGCTGAAAGTTATTTTCTTTAATCGAAATCAGCTTTCTTCGAATTTTGACAAATTCGCTTGCTGAAGAAATTTGAGACGGACTGAAATAAAGCTGTTGCGAAATGGCATGCTGTCTATGGTCTGTTTGTGTGGTGAGAGCTGTTGTGGGTTTTGGTGGGCTGTGGCGCAGGCGGTAAAAGAAGCTTCCAGACACAAAGAAAAGTTGAATAGCTGCGCTGCTACAGGCAAGAGTGGGCCACAGAGACGGGAGGTGACCGTGTGCGCGCCGGGGTGACCGTGCCAGGTGTTTTTTTGAGGAAAGGGCTGCGAACCCAGAGGGATGGCGGAGCGTGGTCATGCCGTGAACAGATTTCTATTGGCTACAAGTGAGGTACGGGGCTTTGGTGCATGGCAAGGCAGTGGGATGTGTGACTCGCAAAAGATGGAGACAGAGGGTTGAGACAGACCAGGTCCTCTTGACTTTTCATTGTCTGTTTAGACATTACCCAGGGCAGTTAATCCTGCTAGGGTTGGTCGGTGTGACTCAGAAAGGAATGTACTTTATCTTGTGAAGAAGAGAAGGCAGATGCCTAATGGCCGGAAGTTTGGGGGTCGCAGGGCCCGGGCTGGCAGCGCTTGGCACCACAAGATCTGTCCGGTGTCCAGCCCCAGGATCTCTGCCCTGGACCCTAGAGGGGGTAGACAGAGATGACTTGTTTGGACTTTAATATTGGGGACCATCAGATGGTCCCATTGACCTATTTAAACTTACACAGCATAGTATCAAAACTTTGTGAAGGAAAAGCCGGGCTGGTCTAACAAGATAACTCACAAGTGTAGGAATGTGAAGGAGAGGCTGGGCTGGGTTAACAAGATAACTCACAAATCTAAGTATTGGAATACTGATTTGAGTTCTGCTAGACTAACTTGTAAATCTAGGTTAATTAGTGTT